CGTCGTCGTGCTCACGCTGGGGTCCCACTCCTCGCGGTGCTCCGTGGAGGGGGTGGACAGGCGGTCCGGCCCCGCGGGGGCGCCGTCCCGCTCCGCCGAGACGTTCGGCAGCGTGAAGGACAGAAATAAGGGGTCCATCGGGGGTCCCCAACGCCGCGCTGGCCTCGCCTGCTCGAGCGAACGATCGGTCCCAGGCGAGACACGTGCTATGCTACCCTTCGCCCTCTAATACAGTGCTGGGAAAGAAAAAAAAAGAAGAAGAACAACCCCCACAATAATAAGACCGGCTTAATTCGTGTGTTTTTAAAATCGCCTTAGAATGCTTACTTTTGTTTCTTTTGAATGATAGCCTCGTAAACCCTACACAGCGATCACCCATTCACTCAACTCACGCGTCAATAAATGAACACCGTAGAGAATGGTTCACCAAAAATGTATTGTGTATATAAGGAAAGTTGGTTAATACCCGTGTTAGTCTCTATACAATGATGACGGAAAGCGATTTAAGGATGCCCTCCCAACCTACCCCCTCTCCAGCAATGGAAGAGAACGCTTTGCTGTGCGGAAACACAAAATAAAACGTCGCTCGGGAGATGAAGGTGATAACAATGAATAATCCCGAGAGGGAAAGCGAAAAGAACTGCACTTCGTATCGTGTTCGAAAACGTGAACTAATAATAACGCTTTCGCCGGGTATAAGAGGGGAAAATGGTGCGATGACGTGCTACGTGGTTTTTGTTCGGGAAGGGCAAGAGTATATATTGCAATATACACCCCTCGCTTATTAGGGTTAGACTATCTTACCCCTCCGATCAAATGGCGTGTTTCCTTCTTTTTCTTTCGTGTGGTTATAGTTAATGCCTTCGTTGGGTTGGCAAGTGTGTAGGCTTTTCTTTTTGAACAATAAACAACAAGGAATACTTCCTCACCTCGAGTCACGGCAAGATGTTCTGCCTCTCAGCCTTCGGCGTAATATTTGGCAAAAAAATTGCGATATAGTAAAGTAGTGGTATTGATAAACAATACGCACTCAGTCCTATATGATAATTTTGTGTTCAACAGGGAGGAGGATGAGAGAGATGAGAAGCCCGAACCTGATATTGTAGACTACTACACTTACACACTTTTGCACACCACGGGATATATATATATATATATATAAAGATATATATATAAACAATTTAATGTGTCAAATATGAAAGAATATGAAATGTAGGAAAAAAAGAGAAGACTTGAGAAAAAAAAACCCAAGAATATATTGAAGCTAATTCTACTTTCGCGAAATAACAGAAGAAATAAGGGAACAAAAGGGGTCATCATGACAAAATGATGGAAAACCCTAACGCTATTTAGGATGACTCATTATGGTTGTCGACATTTTAGGGGGGAAGGGGTCAGGTAGCACTATACCATGTAGCGAATACCCAGTAGGCAGGACTCTAATATCGTCTTGTCATGTGATTTTCTTGTAAAAGAAAAGGACCTGGTTGAACGCGAGAAGATATGTGCGCACTTTTAGGTCTATAAATAATAATCATAATAATGATAATAATAATAAGTGTACACGCAGATAATCACCAATAGGTAAGAAGTCCATCCTCGCATGGTTAATGAGTGGGATGAAAAGGCCAGCGTGTGGTTGGGCAGGGCGATCGTTCGATCATCATCGCCGAGCGCGCGCCCCGCCCTCTTTTATCGGCACCTTCACAGCTCAAACCCACAAAAGAACGCAAACTACGCGTTGAGCCGTTCATGCATCCTAGTTATTGTCTAATATATAAATATATATATACAAGGTCTATTGGACGGATATTAGACTTTAATAAAATATATTTAAAGAAAATGATGTATAGAAGCAAGGTATGGATTTCAAAAATTCAAAAAAAATGGGGGGAAGGATGTGTAGTAAATTCCCACATAGAGAAAAGGAATAAACCTTCCTCCCCCCGATGCTCTCCTGAAGTTTAATTGCGTGCGAGGGAGTGCATGATTGAATTGACGAATGTTGTCAGAACAAATGATGACGCATAAGATATCGAAATTGTGGGTGAAAACATATACCAATGGACCACGATTGATATAAAAATATGTGAAAGCAGTATTAATAGTGAAAATGAACATCTCGTTTTTCGTCTATCACACAAATACGTAATTAGAGCACCGACCTCTTTAAAATAATAATAAAAACTGAGCAAAAAAACTCGCCTGATAAAAATCTTTACAAAGGTATACTACTTTTTATCATGCCTCAACAAAGGCACACCCCTTATAGCAGATCCAAAGGACAATAAAAGCAATAATGATAATAAAAATACGGATTAACGAAATCCTCTCACTTCTTGATAACCCTATCGTTAAGCGAATACACGAAAAAGTGTTGGAGCCCACTTTTCCTATCCGCCTCGATGAAAACTCGACAAGGTTATCCTGCTGCTGTGTGAGCGCACACCACCAATAAAAAGGCCATCGACAGCGCCCCCTAAAGCCGTCTTTCCCTGTTTGGTGTGTGGTCAAAAATAATACGCATAAAAGGAATAAATAAAATAAAATAAAAAACGTGTGCCATGGCTTCGCCTCAAAACCCACCTCCACAACTAAAGCAAATAAAGAAAACAAACGAAATGAAAATACAAATCGGACGAACTGAAAAATACGGTCGAAATAAACTAATCGGCCCCTTCCCTTTTGTATAAATGTACAAAAAATGTACGATAAGGCGCCGTTTTCGCGCAGAAATCAGAGTCCTATACATATACATATACATATATACATACATATATGTATTGGGAGTGCAGCTCCACCAGGCACACACACCCATACGCCCATCACCCCCGCAATTTTGTATCAAATTATTAAAAGCAAAAGATATAACGACGTGGATAGTTTAAAAAAAAAAATGCAAACAGATAGAAATATACCTATATTTATATTTACATATATGTATATTGACATTTGGGGGGGGGGCGCCCTCTCACGCCTTGCCAAAGCATAAATAAAATAATCAAAAAAAAGCCAACGCATGCGCAAATAGAAACTAAACTTTTATAAATTGGGGCATTGATCCATAGAACCCCTCACGCACGGCTCTTTTTCAACTCACGGACGCGTTTAAGGCCGCGTGCGCCCATCCGTTGTGGGAATGATGCGTACCAAAGCCAAGAAGGAACCCCCATCCACCCCCACCGAGCGAAACCTCTTTTTTGGGGGTTATAGCATGCCGAACCCCATATGGCCGTAGGTGATCGCGAGCATCAGCTTCTCGCGCAGGATCTCCGCCGTGGGGTACTCGGGGAGGTTTATTTTGTTAAAGCACGTGTGGGCCTGCGGGAGCAGCTCCGGCGAGCCGGACCACCGGCCGATGGTGAACAACTGCGTCATCCCCCCGGAGCCCTCGAGCTTGGCGAAGCCGCCGAGCGGCAGCTTCGACGACCCTGTCGCGAACATCAGCAGATTCGCGCGGTCGTCCTTGGACATCCCCCCGACGACCTCCCAAAACCACCGAACCTGCGGGGAGGCGGCGGTGTAGCCCTGGTAGGCGGTATTCCCCCGCATGTCCTCCACGTCGTAGTCGACGAAGCCGCAGATCACCAGCTCCAGCTCCAGCTCCGTGAACATGCGGATCGCCTCCCGCGGGATCACCGTGTAGAAGCCGGTGAGCAGACTGGTGAGTTGGGGGGCGGTGCGGGTCGTCATGTGGAACTCGCAGAGCTGGCGGACGTACTGGGCCTTGTTGTCGTTGTGGACGGGCAGATGTCGCCCGCCGGGCTGGAGGTCGTGTTCCAAAACCTCCCCGAAGCGGTCCGCGCTGACGGCGAAGCTCAGGCCCAGCTCCGACACGTCGTTCTCGAGGAGCCAGCGGAGGTTGGCGTGGAGCTCGGGGTCGACGCTGCTGAGGTCTTGGAAGACGGGCTGGACGCCGATCAGGTGGCGGTACACGGCCCGCGTGAAGTGGATGTCCAGCGCGACGTTGTGCGTGATGGCCATGCCCAAAATCAGCCCGACGAAGTGGAAGTACTCCAGGTGCGAGGCGTTGATGTCGGAGAAGGGGTTGGGCTGGTAGGTCAGGCCCTCGCGGGTGTGGATGAAGAGGGCGTAGCTCTCGTTCACGAAGGCGTTGGAGAGGAGCTGGAACCACTCGCGCTGGAGGCCGCCGGCGTCGGCGCCCTCCTCGTTGCGGAACTGCACCTGCAGAGGGGCCTTGAAGGTTTTGACCTTCTTGAGCGCGTTGAAGCTGTCCTCCAGGCAGCGGTTGCGGTCGACGACGATTTTGATGTGCGGGTTCGACTCGATGTCGATCCGGGTGCGGAACTCGTTCAACTTGAAGGTGAAATCGATCAGGCTCGGCTCGGACTTGAGGTAGGGCAGGGTCGAGTCCAGCAAGGTCGAATCCCAGTACAACAACGTGTTGAGGGTGGAGCGGTTCGCCTCAATAAACTTCCGCACCGACCTCGGCAGGTAGCGCCGCTCCTCGACCCGGCAGGCGCCCTTGCGGATCGCGTTGCGCTCCTCGTGCTTGCCGTCCTCGATGACGGCCTTCATCGCCTTCTCGGAGATCGGCGAGGGCTCGACGGAGACCATCCCCGCCATGAACCGCTCCGTCAGGTCGCGCAGGTTGGTGGTGGAGGTCTGCGTGCTCCCGCCAACCGACGTCCCGGAGCGGCGGGACTCGCAGATGTGGTACTCGCAGAAGCCGTTCAGCAGCGTGAAGACGGAGGACGGGAGGGGGATGAGGACCTGGTCGGGCAGATGTTGGGTGATCTGCGAGATGTCGTGCAAATAGGCCTGGACGGCGTGCCAAAGCAGCGTCAGCTCCCGCGGCTCCGCCCAGCCGGTCTCGGCGAAGACGACGAAGAGGAGCTGGGTCAGGTCCCGCGTGCTGCGCAGGTCCATCCGGTGCAGAATCCGAATCGCGAGGTTGACCTCGAAGCGGAAGTCGTCGGGGAGGGCGAGGACGAACTCCCGCGGGGCGGCGACGTCGGCCCGGACGTCGCGCAGAATCTGGCGAAACACCCGCCGCGCGGCCTGGATCTCGCCGGAGACGGTTTTGGCCACCTCCACCAGCGCGCGCTCGACCATCCCGATCACCG